TTTGTCCCCACATCATTTCACTACTTTTTTCTTTCTTCACACAAAGGATTCTCATTATTTTATCCTAAATCATATGTGGCATTTATTTTTTTTCTTTTGCTTTTCTTTCTTTTTCCATTTTTGAGACCTTTTATGATTTTTTTTTTTAAAATTACCCCCAAGTGTAGAGGGTGATCCTTGGTTAGGGTTCTTTAGAAAAAGAAATCATAATAGGCTCAAAAGAGTAGCAATGAATGGTTTTTCGAATGGTAAAATAAAGATTGCCATTTTTCATTTCAATTGTGAATACTTTTCTTGAATATCATCTATCGAACAAAGCTTATGAACCTGTATGAAAGATTGCACATCTCCAAGAAATATCTATTTCACCTTTGGTAACAGCTTACTTCTTTTTTGCTCAAATTATCTCCTCATATTAATGTGGGTGAGTTCTCAAAATTAAATTCTCGAATTATTGTTATCATTGTCTAAATATTCATCATCTGAAATTTGAGAATGGGAATGTAAAGTTATGAAAGGTAACAGGGCATTGAATAATGGTTTAGTGAAAGAAAAAATGTAATGAAACTTGCCTTTATTAAGATGATAACAAGTGAAATTATATTGCAAAAAAGAAATTCTAACATTACTTTAAAAGAACTCTTAGAATGACAAGTAGCATTCAACCAGTTTTAACATCCTCTTTAAAATCATGTTCATGTGTAATCAGGTGAAGGATTTTTATCTCGCCCCATTGCTTCATTGCGACTCTTCATATTCTTGATCCTTAAACAAAATGATTAGGCTTTTCTTACCGAGTTCTAAAGATACAAGCTTGACCATTTGAGTGGCTACTTCCATTATCATGCTTTTTGTTGTAGTGCTTCTGGTAAAAGCAATCTTGTCAACATTGGGATGAAATGTTCAAGACACTTGGAGGAAAACTAACCTTCCTACACACGTCAGCCAACTCCAAACAGGTGATAGATACCAACTCGAAAGGCTTCAATATTACAACATAATCTACAACCAAAGCAAGAGCTATTTTTCAGGCGACCATCAACAGTAGATAATTTCATAGAGTAATCAATCCAATGACCCCAAGTGGTTCTTTAAGCACATAACTCTTAAATGTCTCAATAGGAAGAGAGATAACAACCTTTTGCTTCACATTTAAACCTTTAGCAAGGTACGTATAGTACTCAAAACATCCAGCAACATCATTAATGTCCCAAGTTGCTTCATCAAGTGGTTTCCCGTAATCAATTGCTCAAGCTTTGCTAATTCAAATTTTCTCTCTGTTATCTTGCAAACGATGGCCTGTAAATACTTAACATGAACAGTGCCAGAAGCTAAAGCCCAATCTTTGCCTTTGTTTCTAGAAAGAGCTCTTTGAGCAGCAGTCATCGCAAGCTCCACATCTTCAGCTGTAGCTGCTGGAATATGATCGATGTTCTATTCAATTATAGGATAGATAATTAAAATTCGCTTCTTGAGAACATGCTCTCTCCACTCGCTGTCGATGAGTAACATTCGACTCGAAATTTAGACCACCATATTAAATCAATTTGCCTCTTTTTTTTTTGTTTCACTCTCATCCTTAAACCAGTGTCTAAAAAGCTTTTTTTTTCTATGATCTTTCCCTAATCTCTGTACTTGTGTTCCTCTATTGCTCTTCTTTGATCAAAACTTACCATTCCATCCTTGATTAATCGTTACACCTCATGCTTTAGAGTAGTATAATTTTCAGTGCAATGGCCAGTAATTCTATAGTGGTAGTCACAGTGAGCTGTAGGATCATACCACTTAGGATAAGATGGTTTAAGCGGGTCCACACAGCTTGGGGGCAATCAAGTGGCTATTATAGAGCTCTTGTTATAACTTTATATAAGTTATGGGGATTGGATCATATACGAGCTTTTCTTGAATAGTTCATTGCTTTCGTGAACCACTTGCTAGGTTAATAGGGTGAATTTGAGGTCTTGCAGGAGTTTGAATGTTAAGACTATATGTAGACTTTGGGGATAAAAATGGGCTGGTATGTGGATGAATTAGGTAGTTGTGGGGCTGGTTGGTATAGATAAGATGAAACATTGTTAACAGCAGGATAGTATGGATAGTAACCTTGGGATGGATAGGGTTGATATCCCCTGAACTATCTATCAAAGCCTATAGTTTGAGCTTCAGTCTTTTTATTCTTGGGTGTCTTCTTGGTTTCTCCTCCTTTCAGCTTGTTATTTTTAATGGCATTCTCAATGATTTCGTTTGAAATCACCATGTCAACGAAATTCTTTATGACATTCCCTATCATCTTTTCATAATAGGGGGATTTCAAAGTGTTGACAAACAATACGATGGTCTTATTTTTAGTCAAAGAAGGTTGCACCTAAGTAGCCATGTTCTTCCACCTCTAGGCATATTTTTTGAATGATTCAGTTGCTTTCTTTTTCATATTCATCTAGCAGCAGAGCCAGTGAGGTTATCTTAAAAGACGTGCATCAAGAGCTTTTCATTATTGGTATGGGCAGCCATTTTTCGATAGTACATAGTAATATGAATTTTCAGACACCTTGTACCATCGTATTTCTCAAACTCTGGCACTTTAAACTTCGAAGGGTTAATCACATCCAGGACTAAACAGAGTCTATCAGCATCGGTAGAATAGTAAAAACCCACTCTTTCCACTAGTCGTAGCCTTTCCTCTAACAAGTTTATCTTTTGTTTAGCTTTTAAGGCTTCTACAAGCTCCTTCTCTTTGGGCCTCAATTTTTTTTTATTCTTTTAGATCATCCAAATTAGGGACTGATATTGGTTCTACTACCTTTTCAGTAAAGACAGAATTTATATAACTTTGGTACTGTCTTTGATTTGAATCTCATGGTATTTTGAGATATGTGTACCCTATAAGATAGGTGAACTGCTGTGATGGTGGACCTTGTGCAGGTTGGACTTGATGTGGCTTGAAACCAGGAGGGTACAGTGGGTCATCCTCCTCTTATAGAGAATGATCTTGTTGGCTAGCATTCTCCTCTATTGTCTTCCCATTGTTTAACTTGTTCAAAGCCTCTAAAATCTTATTCAACTCCCCTTCTAACTTTTTCTGAGCTTTCTCTATTCTCTCGAGATGATTAAAATTTTTTTGTTCCATTAATCTAGCTTGAGCTCTTGTATTGTATTGGTGAATGAGATTGCTTGGTGAAGCTATCCTTGAACCTTTAGCACCCTAATTATGATTAAAAATGCTATGCTATGTTTTATGTATAATACGTTGATGCACAAATAAAATGTACATTTTTATGGATGAAATCTAATATGAAATGGATGCAAATGATTGTGTTAAAATATGATCATGAAATAATACAGACGCATAAAATCAGACAAACAACATGGTTAGTTTCACAGATGAAATGAAAGTGATGTCGATGCATAATGTTACATATGATAATGAAAATGATGCACAAAGTCAGACAATCAAAATGATTAGATAAACACCCTTTTTGTGTCCTAGTTTCAGAGTATATCTATCATTGGGTAGATATGGCTCTATCTTAGGGTTAGGCATTTCTAAGGTTCACTATATGTGGTTTGAGGTTAAAGTCTAAAGGTTCTCAAATTGCTCATTACATTATTGTCCATCACAGACTAGTAAGGCATCCTAATTTTTACCCATTACAGGCTACAGGCGAAAAAGGTTCAATTTGAGTGGGAGTATTTCGCTAGCCACTACGGATGCATTAAATCTCACGAAAGCAATAGGTACTTTACTCCCTCCTAGAGGGACGGAGCTCGAGTATAGAGCTCATGTTATGCACATGCATATGAATGACATAATTAATAAAGTGAATAAACATGAATGAATAATAACATATACATATACAAAAAGGTTCAATTTTATTAGGCTTTTTGGATAACATAAATTTATTTGCTGGCTTGACTCTCAGGTGTCCCCAGTGGAGTCGCCAAGCTGTCATAACGTTTAGATCCGAGGATCTATCACTAGACATTGACTTGAAGGAGTCGCCACCAATCTTTTTTATCTAGGTGCAATTGGTCACCTAAAGAATCTATCCTTTCAGGGAACACCTAAGTTTAAGGGACTCTAAAAGAATAGGTTCGGGTCTACTAACCAGAATAGGTTCGGGAGTTTGCTTACATGTGAGGAAGGTTATAGCACCCTCACAACGCCCATCAAAAGATGGTACTAGCTTAATTTTGTGTTATCCAATAAGCCTTAAAAATTTACCAAGTAATTAGTTATTGGAAATTATTATCAATTGACTCTAATACTTTTAGCAGAAAATTAAAAAAATCCCCTCACCTCAAGAGTATGCAAGAAAACTACTGTTTCACCTGCAGAGGCTCTATCGTCGAATTATTTAACATTAAAAAAAAATTCAAGAAAGTAAAAAAAAATAATTGCTTTTGTGCAGAAAAAATTGATACTTTCAACTTTTTTCTAAAAATATTTTTTGAAACTTTAATTTCGAGAAAAATTGATACTTTCAACTTTTCCCCAAAAATATTTTTTGGAAAGCTTATTTTTAAGGAAAATTGATACTTTCAACTTTTCCTAAAAAATATTTTTTAGAGAGCTTATTTTCAAGAAAAATTGATACTTTCAACTTTTTCTCGAAAATATTTTTTTCTTAAAATTATTATTTTTATTATTAACCAATGTTTTAAATCATGAAAACACAAAATAAATAAAAAAAATGAATGAATAAATGACATGCTACAACCAGAAATTCAAATCGGGAAAGAAAACATCTTACAAAAATTTGGATCATTTCTAGATTTGTGCATGTCATCCTTGCGCAGGGGCCATGCCTACAAAGAAAACATCTTACAAAAATTTAGACCATTTCTCAATTTGTGCGTGTCATCCTTGCGCAGGGGCCATGCCTACAACCTTCTTCTATAGGATCTGAAATCTTGATGTTTTTAGTCCACTTTACAAGCCTATCCATAAATTCTTTTACAATGCTTTCATGTGTAATAAGATAAGATGTTGTACTGTAGATTTATCCGTTTGTGCACAAGTAACCAAATGCAGTCCATTCAGTAGCCTTGTCCATCTTCTCAATCTCATCCTCTGAAAGACCACCAGATGATCGGATTGTGATCTGCTGCTCTTTTCCAGTTGCCTTATCCTTAGCAGAAACAGTTACAATCCCATTGGCGTCTATGTCAAATGTGACTTCAATTTGGGGCAAGCCTCTATGTGCAGGTGGAATACCAACAAGATCAAACTCACCCACAATCTTATTGTCAGTTGCCAGGTGACGTTCACCTTGAAGAACTTTAATTCCAACCTGGGTCTGTTTGTCTGCTGCAGTAGAGAAAACCTGTGATTTTTTCGTAAGGATAGTTGTATTTTTGTTGATCAACCTAGTGAAAATTCCACCAAGAGTTTCAATACCAAGTGACAGAGGAGTTACATCCAATAGAAGCAATTTCTTAACATCACCTCGAAGGATACCATCTTGAATAGCAGCTCCCATTGCAACTGCCTCATCAGGATTAACCCCCTTACTTGGAGACTTACCAAAAATTTTTGAAACAATTTCTTGCACCTTGGGTACACGAGATGCAGTGTCTTCATGCCTCTGATGATCAGATACGCAGCATTCCGGTTGAAAGTACCTCCCAAAATATAATGCAAAGTATGAATTTCAGTAACCAACTTCTCAGAACCACTTATGCAACCAGCAAGAACATCATTGAGGCCCCCCAATCTGTCCGCTACAGTTGTCAATACAACTTTCTACAACCACCACCTCATCAGCAAAGGAGACATTGTTAGTGTGTTAGTGGTTGAAGCATGTTAGTGTGTTAGTGGTTGAAGCAACTAAGTATGGCATTTCTGCTGGAACTTTCTGATAGCAGATTAGTCTAGGTAAAATGATGGGTCTGTGTATGGTGACCCATGCTGTTAGGCCAACTACTTTTGTATTTTTGAAGCCTATAAATTAATGAAATGAAGCTCATGATCAAATGAGCCAATTTACTTCAAGTAACAAATTAGTTTCTCTTGTTTTCTGCTATAAATCCTTCAATTGGTATCAGAGCATTCCTTAAGTTCTTAGAGGATCTGTGAGTCCCAAAAATTGAGTGAAAAGCCATCAAACACTTTCAACCAGCCTTTGTCAACCTTAAATGGCCTCAAGCAATTGCTCCTTACCTTCACCTCCTATTTTTTCTGGTGAAAACTACCAGATATGGGCTGTCAAAATGAAGACTTATTTGAGTGCTTTTGATTTGTGGAAAGTAGTGGAAAATGAGAAGGAACCACCACAACTTCCTGTAAATCCAACAGTAACTCAAATGAAAAATTATAGTGAAGAAAAGGTAAAGAGGTACAAGGCTAAAAGCTGTATTGAGTCTTCAGTTTTTGATGACATATTCATTAGAATCATGACTTGTGAAACTGTAAAACAAGCTTGGGATGTGCTCAAGGAAGAGTTTCAAAGCAGTGACAAGACAAGACAAATGCAAGTGTTGAATCTTAGAAGAGAGTTTGAAGTCTTAAAGATGAAGGAGTCTGAAAATTTAAAGGAGTACAATGACAGACTCATGAAGATAGTAAACAAGATTAGATTACTTGGTGAGGAGCTGTCAGACAAAAGAATTGTAGAGAAGGTTCTTGTCAGCTCACCAGAGAGGTTTGAGTAAAAAATCTCATCCCTTGAAGACTCTAAGGACCTGACCAAGATAACTCCAGTAGAATTGTTCAATGCTCTACAAGCTTAAGAGCAAAGAAGGGCTATCAGACAAGAGGATTCAATAGAAGGTGCTTTTACAGCCAAAGAGAAAGACAAGATGCAAATAGAAAGCAAAGGCAGAAAATAAGGAGATCAAAGAAACCAAGGTTCTAGAAACAGTGAAAAAAAATTTTTCCACCATGCTCTCACTGCAAAAAGACTACTCATTTGGAGAAATATTACTGGTACAGACCTAACATACAATGTAGGTACTGTAAGCAGCTTGGTCACATGGAGAAGGTATGTAAAAACAAAAAACAGCAGTAGCCAGATCAACAAGCCAGAGTTGCTGACAATCAACAACAACTAGAAGAGCAAATTTTTGTTGTAACTTGCTATGGAACCAGAACCTCCTCCAGTGCATGGCTCATTGACAGTGGCTGCACACACCATATGGCATCTGATATCAACATATTCAAAGAACTAGACAAGACCTGCACCTCTAAAGTCAGAATAGGTAATGGTGATTTCATAGAAGTCAAAGAAAAATGAGTAGTGGCAGTTGAGACACCAACAGGTACCAAACTCATTTCAGATGTGTTATTTGTGCCCAAAATAGATCAAAACCTGTTGAGTGTAGGACAGTTGCTAGAAAATAACTACTCTTTAGTCTTCAAAGACAAGGCATGCATAATTCATGATCCCACTGGCCATGAACTCTTTACTGTTAATATGAAAAGAAAATATTTTTCCTTGAATTGGCATGAAGCAAACTCCTCTGTATATGTTACTTCACATGATGAATCTTCTTTATGGCATAAAAGGATGGGACATTTCAACTACAATGCATTGAATTTCATGCATAAAAATGATCTTGTATTAAACATGCCTACTGTTGAAGTCAATGCTGGAGTGTGTGAAGTCTGTCAACTAGGAAAACAAAGTAAGTTGCCATTTGTAATTAACAAAGCATGGAGGGCAACTGAAAAATTACAACTTGTTCATACTGATGTTTGTGGTCCTATGAGAACCTTGTCCTTGAATGGCAGTAGATATTTCATTGCTTTTATAGATGATTTTACTAAAATGTGTTAGATTTACTTCATGAAACAAAAGTCTGAAGTTGCAAATGTATTTTGGAAGTTCAAGGCTTGGATTGAGAATCAAAGTGGCTGCAAAATCAAGATCATAAGGTCAGACAATGGTACTAAATACACATCTGACAGATTTAATGAGTTTTGTGAAGTTGCAGGAATTGAACACCAACTGACAGCAACTTACACTCCACAACAAAATGGAGTCAGTGAAAGGAAGAATAGAACAATCATGGAGATGGCAAGATGCATGCTGTTTGAGAAGAATCTTTCAAAGAAATTCTGGGCAGAGACAGTCAATACCTCTGTCTACTTACTCAACAGGCTGCCTACAAAAGCTTTGAAGGGAAACACTCCTTTTGAAGCCTGAAATGGAAGCAAACCATCAGTGCACCACCTCAGAATTTTTGGCAGCATCTGTTATGTGTTTGTTCCTGATATCAAAAGGGACAAGCTTGATCAAAAAGCAGAAATATGTATTTTTCTGGGCTATAGCAACATCACTAAAGGCTATAGGACTTACAATTCACTTACAGGCAAGATGATTGTAAGTAGGAATGTGAGATTTAATGAGCAAGTTGCCTGGAATTGAGAAAAATCAAAGGGAAAATCAGTCAAGCAAATTGCTGCAGACATGATAAGCTTCCAAAATCAAGAAGATTATATGTTTGAAAATGAAATCATTGATCATGAACCAGTGAGAGGAATCAGACCACTCACAGATATTTATCAAAGATCAAATATTGCCATTCTTGAACCTGCAAGCTTTGAAGAAGCTGTCAAATTTTCAGAGTGGAGAAATACCATGAAGGAGGAGATTCAAATGATTGAGAAAAATCAAACATGGATGCTGGTTGACTGACCAAGTAACAAAAACATCATTGGTGTCAAATGGATTTTCAGAACAAAGTTGAATGCTGATGGTTCCATCAACAAACTTAAAGCTAGATTGGTAGCTAAAGGCTACTCCCAACAGTTTGGTGTTGATTTTTCAGAGACATTTGCTTCAGTTGCAAGGTTGGACACTATAAGGCTGCTATTAGCCTTAGCAACTCAGCAAAGTTGGAAAATATACCAACTTGATGTCAAATCTGCCTTCTTGAATGGTTATCTTGAGAAAGAGATCTACATTGAACAACCTGATGGTTTTGTTACCAAGGTACATGAAGGCAAAGTCTATCTACTCAAGAAGGCTTTGTATGGATTAAAACAAGCTCCCAGAGTGTGGAATTCCAGAATTGATGATCATTTACTGAAGTTAGGATTCAAGAAAAGCCTCAGTGAAGCAACATTGTACATTAAAGTTTTTAACAGTAATGATCTGTTGATTGTTTCTTTGTATGTTGATGATCTTCTGGTGACAGGTAGCAAATCAGCTCTTGTGGAAGATTTTAAGCTCCAAATGCAAGAAATTTTTAAGATGACAGACATGGGAGAAATGTCTTATTTTTTTGGAATGGAGATTCATCAAGACCATCAAGGAATCTTCATTTGTCAAAGAAAATATGCAAATGAAATCCTGAATAAGTTTGGGATGGAAAATTGCAAACCAGTCAACACTCCTTTGGCTCAAAATGAGAAACTTGTTAAGGAAGATGGAGCTAACAAAGTTGATGGCTCTATTTATAGAAGCTTGGTTGGTTGCTTATTGTATTTGACAGCAACAAGGTCAGACATCATGTATGCTGCAAATTTACTCTCTAGGTTCATACAAAATCCTAGTGAGTTGCATTTTAAGGCTGCAAAAAGAGTGTTGAGATATGTCAAAGGAACCAATGAACTTGGAATTTGGTTCAAGAAGAATGACAGTTCAAGATTGGTAGAATTCACAGACAGTGATTGGGCTAGCTCTCATGAAGACATGAAAAGCACTTCAGGCTATGTGTTTTTCATTGGATTAAATGTGTTCAGCTGGAATTCAAAGAAACAAGGAACAATGGCTCAATCAACAGCAGAAGCAGAGTATATAGCTGCTGCTGCTGCTGTTAATCAAGCAATTTGGCTAAGAAAAATTTTGTTGGATTTGAGTCAAAAGCAAGATGATCCAACAGAAATTTTTTGTGATAATCAGTCAGCAGTTGCAATGGTCAAGAACCCTGTGTTTCATGGAAGAACTAAGCATATTAAGATCAAGTATCACTTTATTAGAGAAGTTGAAGCTGAGAATGAAGTGAAATTGGTGCATTGCAAGTCAGAAGATCAAATTGCAGATATTCTGACCAAAGCCTTACCAAAGGCAAGGTTTGAAACATTAAGAAAAAGTCTTGGTGTTTCCAGCAGAAATACCAAGGAGGAGTGTTAGTGTGTTAGTGGTTGAAGCATGTTAGTGTGTTAGTGGTTGAAGCAACTAAGTATGGCATTTCTGCTAGAACTTTCTGACAACAGATTAGTCTAGGTAAAATGATGGGTCTATGCATGGTGATCCATGCTGTTAGGCCAACTACTTTTGTATTTTTGAAGCCTATAAATTAATGAAATGAAGCTCATGATCAAATGAGCCAATTTACTTCAAGTAACAGATTAGTTTCTCTTATTTTCTACTATAAATCCTTCAGACATCGATGGCAGTTGCTAAGCAACAACCATCATTGAGAAGGGTAAATTCGAAGCAAGATCGTTCGATCATGAAACAGCAACTACTTGCGCGACACCGATGTTACTATAGCTACGACGAGCTTTGATGCTGAGCTGGCACACGAAGTCAGGCGAGAAACGAAATATCAGAGACAATAAACTCCCGCCACCGATTTCTCCTCCAACACAAAACAACAATGTCATCACCCGTTATGTCAACCCAACACGAGGCTTGTCTCCTATCGGTGCACCAGAGAAGTCGGGATTGGAACGACACTCGAATGAAGAATAAATCTGATTTCTTCTAAACTTTTGGTCACTTGGTAAATCCCAAATGCCATGCAAGATCAAGACAAGCACTTAGATCTGTCTGAACTCCAATTTTCTTACAACTTGACTTGGCTGTGTTCAGGCCAACTTGATCATCAAAAGCTTTTGTATTTGGAAATTCTTGGATAACCTCATGATAAGCTGCAACAGGGATTCCATGTTCTAAGTTTACAATCCTCGACCCATGAAAATTAGCAATGTTCACCTCATTCTTTGAATCCACAAATGCAAGCTAATCCTCTTTATTTCTTTCCTTCTTAAGCTGTGAACACTCTCGTCCCAGGTCTTTTTGCTGCTTTGAAACGTGTCCCAGCTCCTTCTTTAAGCACTCAGTCTCGAGATCCTTAGCATCTTCAGAACCGTAAACTAGCTACACAAAAGTCAAAAGAGTAGCGCATTTAGCAAAAATGCCATTGGAATTCAAGGCCCTACCGAAATCGACAGTTATCTGGGAAAGTTCTCTGGGAGGCGAGTAACTAAGGGAATCAGTGCGAGATGACAGCGAAAAATGTAGGTGTTGATGATGTGACGATGTTGGTGGTGGTGGCCGTGACAAAGGTGGTAAATAGAAGGAAAAAAAGAGGGTTGTTTTGGTTAGCAGAAGAACAAAAAAGAATGATTTCTTCAACTTGGATAAGTTCCTCCAGGAAACTCACATCCCATTCTTCCAAATTTTCTTTCGCTCATACCCTTTTTTTTCTTGGTTTCTGTTTGGTTTTTTTCTTTGGTCACCTCCCCTCCCCTCCTCCTCTATTGCTGTGAATTGTAATGATATATAAAATCAAGTGATTGTGTTTTAGTTCAATTCTGATTATCATCCAATGCCAAAGATTAGCATATTTAATATTTTTTTATAACAATCATCACCAAGCCTAATCTCATTATTTTAGGTTTTTTTTTTTTAATTAATCTGATAATGGAGAAAGAAAAAGAAAATAAACAATAGATAGAAAATAAAAATGATAAATATGAAATAAAAATCTAAAATAAAAAGAATAAAAATCTCTACAATCGAGCTTAAATTAGTCTCGATTGACAAAGAATTCGGACAAAATAAGGTGTCTACAATATGCAGTGCAGAGAGAGGGTTATTCATAGAGGCTGAACCTACTTCTTCCGTTATGAATCAATTTATTGGTGATTTTACATATAGTTCAGTCTCAGAGGTTTCGAGGTTAGTTCCAAAGATTGATTATTCAGGAGGAATATCTTCTCACCATTGATGCAAGTAAGCATTCATCAAAATTATGGAGATATGCTCAAAAGTTTTTTTTTTTTTTTTCCAATTTTAATAGGCTCAAAGGTGTTGGTGAGCACAAGAAATCTACCATACTAAACTTAAGGAGAGACTGAGTGAAAGCACCATTAAAAATAAAAGATCTTATAGTTCAAAAGTAATTTAATTAATCAATTCGTATCTCAGTGATGAGGTGCAGACTAATGCAGCCAATAGAATTCTGATTAATCGGCTTTATTCGATCAGATTTCAGTTTGATGTAACATAGGGTTGTTTTTAGTGTTTTATTAAGGAGAATGGTGTTTGTACTTATGCAACTTAAAAATAGCAGTACAACTGAAGAGTTTTCAGAGAAAGAGATGAACAGACATCAACTTAATTAGGTTACATACTTCTTAGCTCATTATTGCCAAGAATATTGCATATCTTCAACCCATCATGTGGTAAGTTTTGTTATATACATACATATTCCTGCTTGCTTGCGCGATAAGTAGTACAGAAATCACTATAGCTGCTTATACATAGACAGGGTAAATAACCATCCCATAGAATTGTGGGCTATTCATGTCTTCATATCCATGAAAACACTAACGCTTAATTCTTTGTCGAGGGCAGATTTCTATCGTGCCTCTAACAATGAAATGGTAACTTGGTTTACTGAAGCTGATTCATGATGGCTTGATGAGTAAGATTCTGATTCAGGCAGATTCCTTTCAGTGAAAAAACCAGGCTGCTTTGGTTGAGGTAATGGATTCTTACCACCTAACATTAGAACTACAGATGACATGTTTGGCCTATCATCTGTTCGGTTTTGGACACATAACAGACCAACATGAATGCATCTTAGAACTTCAGACACTGCAAAGCAATCACCCAAGTTGCTGTCAATTATCCGCAATGGCCTCTCTTCCATCCACAGTTTCCATGCCTGAAACATTAGAATCAACATGTCAAATATTTATTTAATAGTCAACATCTTAAATAATATTTTGTTCTTCCTGCTTACATGTCCAAGAAGATTATGGCTGTGATCTGGGTGGTTGAATCCTCTGTTCTTCTTCCCACTTATGATCTCAAGTACTAAAACACCGAAGCTAAAGATATCAGATTTTATGGAGAAGAGTCCATCTACAGCATACTCAGGAGGCATATAACCACTGCAAAATGCCATGAAAAACAAAGAAAAAATTAGAAATAGCAGAAGATGGTTATAGAACATTTTGGCATTG